TAGATAAGGGCATAACACTGATATTGGCTCCTAAATCGCATAGAGCTTTGTCTATTACGAACTTTCCTATGACGCAGGGTATGGAGAAACTACCTGGGTCTTTTAATTTAGGAGGCATGCGGTTCTGAATAATAGCGCTACACTCTGCAGTAAGTGTAACTGTTTCATTATCCTCGATCTTTCTCTTATTCGACAGGATTTCCTTGAGAAATTTGGCGTATGACGGCATTTGAGTTATCGCTTCTGTAAAAGGAATAGTAATATTCAGCTGTTTAAGGAGCTCTACAAATTTCTTAAACTGTCCTGAAGTTTTAGAGTTTATTAGTCTTTGCGGATAAGGAATAGGTGGTTTATATGGCGCTGAAGGTGCTTGAGTTTTTTCACTTGCGGTATCCTCCTTCTCGTTGTCCTCCTTCTTCTCTAACTCAGATTCCTTTTCTGCTTGTTCAGTTGGTTTCTGTTGCATGGCTGAGTTTTCGGTCCTCGGATCGATCGGTTCGTCCAATTCTTTTCCACTTCTTAGTATCACAGCATTTGCTTGGCCTTTGGGGTTCTGTTCGGGTTGTCCAGGAAATGTGCTAGCAGGTGCAGCAGCAGATGCTTGCTGTTGAGCCACTTGTGATATCTGAGTTTCTAACATTTTGTTGTGGGTGGCTAAAGCGTCTACTTTTCCTGTCAACTGTTTAATTTGCTCGCTAGTGTGTATGTTTTGATTCAGGAATTCTTTGTTCGTTTGAGCTTGAGTAGCTATGAACTTTTCCATCATCATTTCGAGGTTTGATTTCCTAGGTGCATTCTGAGCAGCTGGTTTTTGATATCCTTGCGGAGCATTAGGCATTTGCAATGCATTTTCGCTCTTGTAAGAAAATTTTGGATGATTTCGCCAACCTGGGTTGTATGTATTTGCGTAGGGATTTCCTTGAGCATAATTTACCTGGTCTGGCGGGATTTCGGCTAGCAATGGGCATTCGGGTGCATTATGAGTGGTGCTTCTGCATAACTCGCAATTTGGAGTTATTGCAGCGACAGTTGCAGTGGGGTTAACGGTCAGACTATCGATCTTTTGTGCTAGAGCATCTACTTTAGCATTGAACTTTTCAAGGCTGCTGATCTCGTACATCCCACCTTTCGCTGAGGTTTTCTCATTTGGAGTGCGTTCACCTCCCCATTGGCAATGGTTTTGTGACATGTTTTCTATCAATTGATAGGCTTCATCGTATGGCTTATCCATAAGTGCACCGCCCGCGGCAGCGTCTATGGTTAATCTAGTATTGTATAGAAGCCCATTATAGAAAGTATGGATTGTCACCCAGTCTTCTAGACCGTGGTGAGGACATGTTCTCATCATATCTTTGAATCGTTCCCATGCTTCGTAGAGAGATTCAGTATCTTTCTGTCGAAATCCGTTGATTTGAGCTCTAAGCATAGCAGTTTTGCTTGGTGGAAAATATCTCGCTAAGAAGACGTTTTTCAATTGCTCCCACGTCATAACGGAGTTGGATGGTAACGATTGTAACCATGTCCACGCTCTGTCTCTAAGAGAGAATGGGAAAAGACGAAGTCTTATCGCGTCTGGAGTTACTCCATTTGCTTTCACTGTGTCTGCGTATTGTACAAACTTCGTTAGATGTTCGTTCGGATCCTCAGTTGCGTTTCCTGAGAATTGGTTTTGTTGTACAGCCGACAACAATGATGGTTTCAGCTCAAAATCATTTCGGGTAATAGCTGGGGCAGCAATGCTACTTCTAGGCTCCATCTGAGATGGTGTAGCGTATGCCTTCAGCGATTTGTTCGGAGGTCCTTCAGCCATCGTTGGTTCTTCTTCGGATTTGGGAATGGGAGTGAGAGGATCGGGAATGTTATGTTTGAGTTGGTACTCAATGATTCGGCTTCTTAGATGTAAGAAGCGCTCTAGTTCTGCGACTGAAGGTTTCAAGATGTCGCTTTGTGGGCGATCACTTGGCATACAATCGACAACACTAGTAAAGGAAAAATGAAAATTGTTTACCTAGTCTATACGGCGTAACAGAAGGTTACACTATTGACTAAACGGGTCCCCGGCAACGGCGCCAAAAACTTGATCGCGACTTTCTATGTCTAATACAACTAACTGCAAGTGCACAGTCTATCGCGTAGTAATAAAAGATATCGATCCCACAGGGACTCGTAATCAAACTAGTGTTCTCGGGAGTTACTATGTTTAGCTAGGTAGAATATGTTTTAAGGGAATAAGGTTGTCACTAAAAGGGGAACTAAGATTACTGTTTGGATTTTTAATTAATTAAATCGATACGTAGTAATTATGTTCTTCAGGGACTTGATAAGTGACTGGTGTATGAAATAGTTTTCACAGTTTATTTAAGCAGAAAATGGAGATTTGAAGACTCTCGTCTCACAATGGTTATTGACGCTAATCATAATCCTAAGGGCCTAACGTACACTTTCGTGTTCCGTTCGGGGTTAAAATTACTTTTTGGAAATCTCTAAGTTCTAATTCGTTTTAAAGTGCTTTCGCTGTTATTAAAACAAATGCCTAGTGTTTACTATCTGACCTTACCGCAGCTTTCGCTTGTTGGTTCGTATCTTAATTAATTTCCCACTTTCGTGGCAAAACTACTTTAAAATAAGTTCTCGCTTTCGCGACGAAGTTTATTTCGTAAATCAATTTTAAACACTTAGACCATAGGTTATTTTTGTGAAAAGAAAGTTTTCAAACAAGAGTTATCAAGTCCCATTCGAATTATTACTACATATCGATTACCTAAGTTTAGCTAGACATGGAATTTAAAAAAGCAAAACATAAATAATAATAATAAATAATAAATTGCATTATGATAAAATAGAAGTCGATCAAAATGAAAACCTGTAAATAATGCCAATTGGCCTTTGGGCAGATCCTCCACAGATGTTGGCAGGATTCTGTCTTTAGTTCCAATTCGATCGTACAGTACAGTAACAGTTACAGAAGAGCGGAAATGGGAATGAGTAGAATGGAAAGGGAAATAAAGGAAAGAGATACAAATAAAACTGGAGAAATGGATACAAATAATAACTGAAAGTAAATTTGCTGGAAAGTAAATTTGGCAGCACTTCGTGGTATGAATGCCGCTCCCTTTTTGAAGTCCCCTGCTTCCCTTTTTATAGAGGTGGAATTCCAACGGTTACCTCTGAGGATGATGGACCTTGAGGCAGATAATTTAGGGAGTAGTGGACCATTTAATGGGAATTGGAACTGCTCTTTTGACGTGTAATCTGAGTGGGGCGTTTTTGCCTGCATGACGGTCGTCACAAGGTGTGACGGTCGTCACCCGTGTGACGGTCGTCATGCATCTATGACGGTCGTCACATCAGCAAAAACTGTCTGTTGCACTTTTCATTGTGTTTTCACTCCTTTTTCGTCCATATTTCATCTGGGATTGCTTCTTTTCTTCATGTTGCCTTGTTTAGACGTGATCGTTGAATACCTGCAAAAACATCAGACAAATACATGGAAATAACCCGAAATCGGATCGAAAACGGTTAGACTTTAGTTGAATTATGCATGAAAATATCTATACGATTTTGTGTTATCAGTGGGATCGACTACATGGAACAATTTTAGCCGTAAAGTTCTATTCAAGACCATACTTTTATCTAAATTGTTAAACTTGAGATCATTCTTAATTACTTCTCTTATAGTTTTTCTAGGTCTTCCTCTACTTTTAACTATTTAACCCCTATCCATCTGATCTATTTTTCTTACCACATAATCTAAAGGTCTTTTTTCTACATGTCTAAACCACCGAAGTCTATTCTCCACCATTTTTTCTACTATAGGTGTTACCCCAACACTCTATAATATTATCATTTCTAATCTTATCATGTCTAGTTTTATCACACATCCAACGTAACATCATCATCTCTACTTCACTTACTTTATTCTCGTGTTGATTTTTAAGTGGCTAACATTCTGTCCCATACAACATCGCAGGTTTTACTGCAGTTCGATAAAATCTTCTCTTCAACTTGAGCGATACATTTCTATGACATAAAATTCTTGAAGCCCTCTTTTATTTCAACCACTCAACTTGAATTCAATAGTTTACATCCTCATATATTTCTCCATCTGTTTGTATTACAGACCCAAGATATTTAAATCGTATGACGTGTGGGATGATATGGTCTCCAACTTTCACCTCTAGGTTAGAAATACTTCTCCTTTTCCTGAACTTACATTCTATATATTCTGTCTTACTTCTACTTAGGCAAAAGCCATGCGTTTCTAAGGCTCGCCTTCAAGTCTCTAACCTCCCGTTTAAATCCTCCTTCGACTCTCCTAGTAGGACTATATCATCTACAAAAAACATGCATTTCGGTGCTAGCTCTGAGTACATCTAAAATTAAAGTAAAAATGTACGGGCTTAGGATTCAACTTTAGTGCAAACCTATTGTAATGGAAAATTCAACTGTCTTTCCACCTTGTGTTCGCACACTAGTCGATACCCTTTCATACATATCTTGAAAGACTCAAATATATTTATAATCTTAACCCTTTCTTCTCTAAGACTTTTCATAAAATCTTTTTAGACATTCTATTAGACTTTTCATAAAATCTTTTTAGACATTCTATTACATATTGTTTCCAAATTAATAAAAATTAAGAGCGAGTCTTATTAATCTATCCAATACCGCTTCATCATCCATCATAGCAAATATATCATTTTCGTGATGGACATCCTAAACATAATACCAAATTAATTCCCAATAACATAAATCTCTTTTCTTAATCTCCCATTAATGACTCTTTCTCATAATTTCAAAGTATTTCTCATTATGACTCGTAAACATAAACATATTAAATATGGTAAATATGATGAGGATGATTTTTCTAATCTAATAATGATCGAAAATTGAAAGAAGCTGTCTTGGATTCTCTTTCTCTTTCTCTCTCTAATGCAAAAAAAAATGTAGCATTTTGTGACTCTCACTCACTCTCTTCTTCAATTCCAATTACAGATTCAATGAAATCCAAACAAGTTTCAACGATGATAAGACAGGGTTTCATATCAGACCCAACAATCTCTTCATTCTCACCTTCTAGAACCTTCTCTTCTCCATCTCCATCTCCACCACCATCCACCACTCGCCCGAGTCAACCTCAAACTCAAACTCAGTCACTCTTCGACATGATGTCAGAGGATCAGAACCGCGACGCCAAACTCTCCGACGAAAAGCGCCGGAAAATGCAAGATCGGGTGAAGAAGCTGCTAGAAGAAGCGCCTTTCAGCGGCGGTGATGTGAAGCTGACGGTGGTCGGAAAGGAAGGGTTGAAGGTATCAATGGAAGTTCAGAAGAGCGTTTTGGCTGATAAGAGTAGATTCTTCGCGGAGAAGCTTCGTTGTGACGGTGGAGATGGGAATGGGAATGGAATGACGCATTCGGTTGAGATCAGTGATTGTGACGACGTTGACGTTTATGTGGAAGCTGTCGTTTTGATGCATTGTGTGGATCTTAACAAGAGGTTGAGGTTCATTGCTGAAGATGGTGTTTCTAAAGTCTTGAACTTGCTCAAGGTATTCTTTTATATTTATTTCATAGCAAATTAGCAATGATGAATGATTTTGACTTAAACTAGGAACTTATTTTGTGGAGCAATGATGAATGATTACTGCTTAATTGGCCTTGTTGTGAATTTATTCCCTAATTGGTCCTCATTGTTGTTCTTCACTATGAAGTAGTACTTACACAGATACCTGATTCGACACCGACACTTGACCCTGAAATGTCTACACTAGTAATAATTTGGAAAAAAAATGAATAAATTGAACAAAATCTCAAGTGTAGATATCGTGGCAGGCACGTCTTTTTCAGAGGGGTTGGTGCTATAGAGGTTCAACACCATAACCATGTAGAGTATTTTGCTTACCTTCTTTTGCAGGTATCAGCAGCCATCATGTTTGACCTAGGTGTTATGTCATGTCTAGAATATTTGGAAGCTATTCCATGGACTGAGGATGAACAGGAAGAAATTATATCTCAACTAGGTCATTTGCAGCTTCATGACTCTGCAACTGAAGTTCTTCTTAGAGTGTCATCGTCAAGTCCATCTACTGCTGCGAGAGCCGATGATGTTTTCACGAGCCTTCTTAGTGGTGTTTTACAAGCTAAAGACGATAAGGCGCGTAGGGAAATGAAATCCATGCTATCTAAATTACTTAACGAGGATGCGTATAATGATAGCAACAAACTCGATGTTTCTAAAGACACACTCTATCATCTTTGCCAAAGATGTATCGGCTCTCTTGTCCTGTGCCTATCTGAAGCAAACGACTCGCCTGAGAGGCCAGACCGGGGGATTTTAATGAGCGAAATAGCTCGCGAAGCTGACAACATACAATGGATTGTTGACATTTTGATTTGCAAAAGGATGGGAGACGAGTTTGTGAAAATATGGGCGGAACAGAAAGAACTCGCTGCACTTCATTCGAAAGTTCAAATCATTTATCGTTATGAAATCAGTAGAATCACAGCGCAACTGTGTATTGGGATTGGAAGGGGGCACATATTGGTGCCGAAAGAAATTCGATTTTCGTTGTTGTCGACATGGTTAGAAGCTCTGTATGAAGATTTTGGATGGATGAAGAGAGGTTCTAAATCGGTTGATAAGAAATTGGTTGAAGATGGACTGAGCCAAACTATACTAACACTGCCTTTACTTCAACAGCAACTTTTGTTGCTTAATTGGTTTGATAGGTTTCTTAATAAAGGAGATGATTGTCCTAACATTCAGAAGGCTTTTGAGATTTGGTGGAGAAGGGCTTTCATCAGAAAGTATTCACCAGAGTCTGATAGTTCTCAATTACAAATAGCTCTCATGGATTATCCAAAATGAAAAGTATGAAAGGGACCTTTAAATAGCAGAAGAGTGTAATTAATTCACATTTGTAAATAATAAGTGGCAATTTGCATTTCCACTTCTGCTTTTGTCAATTTTGGATTTTTTTTTTTGAATGGTGGAGGGGAAAATATTTATAAGGCTGAAATGTTCTTTTAATTTTTATTTTTATTTTTTATATCTTATTAAATAAATTTAGAGTTTTTTTTTTTGTTCATGTCATTATCATTGTAGTAATTTTATTATTTATATATTAAATTTTGCCAAGATTAGCTTTATTATGCATAGTTGGTATCAAGAGCAGATAAAAGGAGAGAGTTATGTTAGGCAATTAATTGCCGAATTTTTATGACATGGATCAACTATGAAATAATGTGAATGCTAAATCGTTGTTCGTAAGCAACATGGTGTATGACACAAGTATAATGCCAAAAGAGCAAGGGCTGTTGCTTCGCCGTAGGGATTTAGTTAATAATAATGCCAAAAGAGTAAGGGTCATCGCATTGCCGTCAGGATTTAGTTAAAAATAAGTCAGGGTTCCCACATTTTCGTTAACGTGGGTGTAAAGAAGGGTAGTTCATGAGAGTAGGATTCGTTTTGGATAATAGTATAGACAAACTTATTGAAAAATCTATGAAAATAGTGGGTATTATGGTTAAGAGGAAGACCAATTTCATGTGTCTACAAGGAACTAAGTGAATAGCTGAAAAAACAAGTTAGACAACTTGAGATTTAAGATTCGGTATACCGAAAACATTAGATCGAGAAATGGGGTGTGGAATATTAGACAATGAGTGGAAGAAGGATATTGTGGATGTAAAAAGAGTAGGAGATTGAATCATAGCCTTGAAATTTGTAATAGAACAAGGAACATTTATTGTTATTAATGCTTACGCACCTCACGCGGGTTAATAGAACACTTTAAGGTAAAATTTTAAAAGGATTTAAAAGGCTTACGTCATGATATATCCCAAGGAGATAAGCTTTTTTAGGAGAGGATATAAATGGACATGTAAGGTGTGTAGCAAGAGGTTTTGAGAGTATGCTCACTAGGAGGTAAATGTCAAGGGTAAATTCATCTTAGAGTTTTTGTCGGCTTTTGATCTTACTATAGTTAATACCTATTTTAGAAAAAGATATGAGCATCTTATCACATATAAGAGTGTTGGGGGGGGGGGGGGGGGGAGGGGACGTGTTCTCAGATAGATTTCTTTGTTATTAGGAATTCATATAAGAAGATTTGCTTGGATTATAAAGTTATTCTGGGAGAGAGTTTGACTATCTAACGTAGATTATTAGTTATGGATGTAAGAATCAAGAGGAGAGAAAAGAGAAGAAGTAACATGTGAGCACCATAGGAGCGCGAGTTTGAATCTGCGACATTTCACTTGTTCATCTTTAATAAGGTGAAATCCAGCCACTAGACTATTTATAAATAAATAATATAAACAAATAGATCAAGTGGTGGTATTTGAGTGGCTCAACGAGCTCTTTAATGCAATTATGAGGTCAAAACAAATGTTAGATGATAGTGTTGCACCCTAAAATTTGCTCAACCTAATTCACTTGGTTTATGTTTTAATTGCATTGGCATTTGCATATAGAGTCATGTACATAGCCTAACCATCTGCATAGCATAGCATAGCAAATCATCCAACAGGGACCAATCATTATTCTCATCTCTATGAGCCTATCAAGAGGTTATTATTCAAATTCAATCTCATTCAAGTCATCAGAAAGAATTGGAAAGCTAAAGAGGTCAATGGATTAAGCAGTGCATCTATCTTCTATTTGAGGGTATCTGAGGATCAACAAGGAAGGTGTGAGCTGTGAATTGAGCATGGAGAGTATCTAGACATCATGGGAGACTTAGAAAGTCATTTGGATAAGGAGGCAAGTCATTGATATGATCACAAGAATTGCAGTTGAAGATAGTCAACTAGGGTTTCATCTGGGTCAACCCTGGGTCAACTCTAGGTCAATTGATTGATTGAAAGGCATTGAGGTCTATTGGAGAGATGTGGGGTTCATCATTTGACATATAGAGAAGGATATGGTAATGTGCCAAGAAGAAATCAAGAGAAATCAAGGAGAAGAGGAGTTTCTAAATTAGGGTTTTTGTGTAAAATCCCCTAATTTAGGTCAAATTTCCAAGCAAGATAAGTCAAAATTCAAGCTTCAAATGGATCCTTGGCCAACATGAAACTTGTAGAGGATCTCAAGACCTTTAATTTGAGTGGTGGAAGACATCAAGGAGATTTATAGAACTCAAGTTATGGTCCTTGCAAGTTACAGGTCATCTGAGGTATCTGAAATTTTGTCTGTGAAAGTGACTTGACTTCTAAGCAATTTTTACCCCTCAAGGAGATTTCAAATGAATTTCTGGTCAACATAAGAGTTGTTCCTCATTGTCTTAGATTTCTAGAATGGTATGGTATGCCTTCATATGATTTGTGTAACTCTACTTATGGTCTTGGCAAGCAAAGGGTATTTTGGTCATTTGAGAATTACAGGTCATTTCAAGCCTATGCCCAAAACTCATACAAGGAAACTTCAAATGGAAAACTTCACAACATCAATCTTGCTCCAAATGGCATTTTGAGTCTAGAAAAGTAACCATGAAAGATTGGAAAGACTCATAGCTCAAGGTTTCAAAATTGGTGGATTTAATGAATAAAAAATGACCTAAATTTGAGATTTTTCATAGTTTGGCCAAATGAGGTGAAATTATAGGTCATTTTGATTGGAAGAAATGTTTTAAGAACATTGGAAAAAGTATAATTTTGAGTTTGGTTCAAGAATTGAAAGATATGCATGGTTACTTACAAGTGAAGTTACATAATCCAAATCCAAGGGAAAGTGTGCATGGGAAGTTTCTCCATGGTTGGTGAATCATATTGATCAAAACACAAGTTATACACAATTCTTCCATTTTGCAAAATCAATTCAAACTCTCTCAAATCTCTATCAATCTCCATTTTGTTTGATCTGATCATCATCACCATCATTCATAGATCACAATTCCACAAGATTTTGGTTGATTTGAAGAAGGATTCGTGCTGTTCAAGTTAATCCTCCAAGAAGCAAGATTTTGGTGATTGCAAGATTCAAGAGCTAGGAGCAATATCCATTGCATACAGAATTCATAATCAAGTTCCCTAATCATTTTCCACTCATCACAAGCATCAGATCCAAGGATTTTAGCACCTGTTTTCATCATTTGTACCAGGTAAGTTTGTTCTTCGAATTGCATGATTTAGATAGGATCATAGAGAATTGTTAGCATAGAAATGTTAGGATAGGTCAGATGATTGATTTTGGTAAGTTTGGACAAGTTTCATGGAGGTTGATCATGGTGCACTAATTCTGTTAGAGATCATAACATCAAGAATATGGCACGAGAATCTTAGGTTTGTAGCTTAATTTGTTCAGCATGAAATGTAGAGCATGTTAGGGCAAAGATTGGAGAGAATTGAGAGAGTTGATATCAGGTGATTATGGTGGAACCAAATTGTTACATTCATCGGGTTTGATTATTGGTTGAGTTTTAGAAGGAATTATGGACATGGTTGTGTAGAGGGAAGAATTTAGAGCAACTTTGCTCTTTGCATCAAGTGAATCCATGGAGAGACGAGGGAGAACAGAAAGGTGTAAGATGCGTGCATGGTGATGAAGTTTCAGAAACCCTAGGGTTTCTAAGGTTGAAGACGACCTTTGAGCCACACGATTGCTTGTTGGACTTTGACTGAACCCAGGATCCAATGGCCACGATTAAAAGAAAAAACGGAGGGAGATTCAAAAGCAGAAATGCACCGTTTCACTTATTATTTCAGACTGGGCTCAAAGATTGTTTGCTAATCCCACCCCCCAAGTATAAGGCCCACTATGATTTTGACTGAAAATTTCGCTATCTGCACTGTTTCATCTTTTTTATTTTTTTGTTATATTTTCTGTTTGACTGGGGCCCAGACGCGCTTGCTATGCGCGCCCCCCAGTCTGGGCCCATCTGGTGGTTTTAACTGATTTCAATTACTCATGGCACCCCTCATCTCATATTAATTCCATTTTAATTTTTTTTAATTCATTTCAATTCTTTGAAAATTCATAAAAAATTGGAAAATGCATGATTTTAATTGGTTCTTTTTTTATGTTGTTCATAATTTTGTCAAGAAAATTATCCCATAAAAAAATTAATATTTCATTTTATTTTTGTATTTTTTGCACATTTTTCTTTTAAATAGCATTGTAAGTAGTTTAACTTGATGCATGAAATTGTTAATTTTGGTTTGATTAAGTGCTTTACTATTTTTAATCCCTTCTTTTTAGGTTGATTAGATTAGACATTTATCTTGTATATAAAATTTAGTTCATATTTTTAGGACTTAATTTTAGGTGATTTGTTTAGGTGTGAATAACATGATCAAAACTAGGGTTTAGGAGATAACCTAGGAGGATTAGTTCATTTCCCTTAGGAGTTAGAGATTGAATCTTTGGGGTATGGGACTATAGGGATTATGGGTAGTTAATAGACCCCTTAGAAAATATTAGGATTCCCCTACTGCTATTAGTATACTGTCTATATTTGTTTGACTGTGTGGTGTGCCCTCTAGGGTTATTTTCATTTGTCTGTGTGGGGTATTGGGATTGCTTTGGGGATTGGGAGAGCTGAAGACTTGTTGATGAAGCCATTGGAGATCAAGAGCTTGAAGACCAACTTCCAGAGTTGATGAGGAGCATCCTTTGCTGGCAGCTGTTGAGGAGTGTAGGGTTTAGGAGCTAGTCAGAGCCCTAGAGTAGAGCATTTGATTCACAAACATGGAAGGCCTTGTCTGCCTCCATTCTTTCTCTATGATTCAGAGTCTCTTTCAAATATCCACCTCCTTCCTTTGGAAGGATCAGTGAATGTATTTGAAAGATAGAACTTTTGAGAGAAAATTGTCCGTATAATGTTAACAGTTAATGAGCCACCCTTGGTAGGCATTTGACTGTTTAACATT